GAAGGTGAACAACGGTAGCATTCGCATTGTTTCGTGGCAGCTTGAGGGAAGCAGGATGCGTAGTAGGATATGAGTAAGTGAGTAAGTGTGTGGTGAGAGTGTGTGTTGCAAGGACGAATAGGGACGTAGGACAGAGTAATAGCGGCAAGGTATCTTGGTTCGTGAGGTTGTCAAACAACGGCTGAACACGGCTGCAGAGAGAATAATAGAGCACTACAAAGCAATAGCTAGATTATTATTACTTATTCAATTCAACGGATGGATATCAACAGCAATGTGGAGACAGATTCGAAAATGGATGACTCAATTGACTGCAAGAATTGAAACGCTAAACAAAACCAGAGGTTTGGATAATGACGAGGATATTGAAAAGAGAGAGAGATAAGAGAGGGAAAGTTTGGTAAGCAAAAATACTTTGTAGTGGAGATCCGTCCGTGGCCCCTCCGCCCTCCTATAGGGCACTGGAAGAGGCACAGAATGCGTGAGTTAGGAGATGGAGATGACTGGGTCTGGCCAGTAGGGGGGAGATTATTGCAGGCCATGAGTTCGGAACGAGGAGTAGTAGATGCAGGGGAGGGCAGGGAATGCAGTACACGCAGCAGATGGTTTCAAATGCACGCCGGTTGCTGAAGGTGAGGCGAGGGAGGGAACGAAAGTCGTGGCAATTAAATTAATGGAACAAGCACAAGTGGACGCACATATTCTTCCAATGACCATAAAATTCCAAGGTTCTTCCAATGAAGCTCTGGAAGGATTCGTAGACAGGCAATTGGGTCCTTAACTGCGGGTAGTTCTTCTGGCGTGAACCCAGCGCTGAGGGTAGCGGAGGCAAGAATAAGGGAAGAGAGAAATTCAAACAAGCAGCAAGGAATCTGCAGGGGATACAGAGCAATGCAGCGTTCATAGAAAAAGAGGATTTGGGGGAGATTTGGAACTTGGGACTTGGGACATTGGAGCTCAACGTTCGTTGGGAGGAGGTTGAGATCTTTCTCAGCAAAGGAGGCTCAACAGATGGCAAGCGTCGCTGTTTCAAGCAGGTCCTGGCGCAGAGAGACAAACCACTGCAGATACTGGCAGCAGACAAACCAACGGACACACCACCAGACAGCGGGACGGCTGGCTCCCCATAGGTGCCAAGTGAATCAGGGGTTGTCAATCAGGACCTATGGGAAGACTCGTAGCAGATCCTAGCCACAGGAACGAGTAGCCACTAACCTGCCAGAAGCCGTCCTTGAACCTGTCCCACTCAGTGACACCCCGCTAGATTGTTCTCAGGTCAAAACAGGCACTTCCAAGGTTGTCCGGCTAGGCTGGGTTTGGAGGCAGTTCTGGCATTCCAAGGTACCTAGTTATCCAACTCACTGAAATACTAACCAATTAAGTATTATTGTTGGGAGGTTGGGGGGGGGGACGAGAAGAGAGACTCTGTCCTGTACAACCACTTGAATATCCCAGGGTCACTTTACGGAGTGAGTGCTTTACGGAGTACGGAGGAGCATGTAACTAGTTATATATTGCATGCCATTAATTGTCCGTCCTCCCCTCTCCAAGACACATTTCTATAGCCAACCCAATCCTCCCTATGCCTTCACGGACGCCCTTCGACCCTGCTAACAAATTAACTAATCTCTTCTGCTTTTAACACGCATATCACCCTGCACATTTATTAGTCTCCAGTCCTCTAGGCAGCTCCCTCCTCGAACAAGCCTTCCCTGGACCCACGTCTTGCAGGGTGACAAAATTGATTCTTTCAGATCAGATAATTTCCGGCGGTCTTTAGGCCAATAATGGTTATACGGGGTAGCTATGGGCTGTGGCTGCTATCCTATATCCTGACACTCACAAAAAGAAGTGTATGGGTTTTATTTCTTATAGCCCACACTCATGATGGGGATTACCATTGTGTTGCAGCATTGCCTACACCGTCTCGACTGTGCACCCATACATAGGATTGGATGCAGGGATATGATTGGGGATAGTTACACTAACAAATTACTTTACGTACTTTTACAGGGAATGGAGGGTTACTTCTCTGACATCCAATTTTCCCCCAATTTCAGCCCTGTCCGCAACTAAATTCCCCCGAATATCATGAGTATATATCCATCGATGGATCTCCTGGTGCAAACCTGGAAGGACCTTTCACCCCTGCTGAACTTCTTCATCTTTGCGCTACTACTCTATCTCCCTTTATCTTTACCCACCCCCTGTCAGCCACGTTTTTGTTCGTGGCACAAAAAAAAAATAAAAATAAAAATAAAATAAAAGTAAAAGTAAAAAAGAAAAAAAGAAAAAAAGGAAAAAGAAAGAAAAGAAAAGAGAAAAGAAAAGTGATGTTGCTTATTATGGGCAATGAGCCACAAGTAGCTCTGCGCTCTATAACCTCGCATGACATTTGATACTTTGCAAAATATAGTGTGAATGGGCTCATCTTCTTTTCTTAATATTCACTATTCTCTCCTTTCTCCTGTGTGATAACAATTCCTTTTCTCAAAGCACTGAAGTTCCTGAACTACCATTGGTCTTAAAGTTGCCCGATCCCTACCCCCTTTTTTTATGAATAGTATCTTCAACGTTCGGACTATATAGATATAGTAGAATCTTATAACCCTCTTCGGTGTCTTGGTGACAAAAACTAAAAAGGGACAATGCAGAAGTATCCTAACAGGATAATCTAACGGAGGTATGAGGAGATGATATTCTCCATTCCCCATGATCCTTTATTACTTGGGAGACTCGCTGTCCCGGAAAGGGAGCTGAGCAGTGAGAGGAAAGTAACAAACTTCCGAAGATTCCTAGGTCACAATATAACATAACATACTGATATGTGTACATCAATTAAGTTATGGCGTATCAGAAATTGAGTCTGGCTATGGATTTTGAATTCTGGTTTATTTGTTGTGCGCTGGTAGAAGGCTTGGAAGAGTCATGTGAAGACTTAATTGCTTCATTCCCACTAAATTACTCGGTTCTTCTTTGCCAGCTGGTTGATTTTCGTTTTAATTTGAATAAATTATGTACACCTACAGATGTGAAATACAATCTTTATCCCCTTCGCGATCCTTCCAAGGAGATTGCTGAGAAACCCCACGGGTTGAGAGTTGTCCCCACCCATCCACATTATTCACGCCGGTAATATAGCGGCTAATAGGCGCAGCAACCCCCAAAGTCGAACGGCCAATAACATCAATACAGGCGCTAAACAAACGCCTCAACGCGCCTAAATCCAGGCGTCCCAACTCAGTAATCCTCAACAACTTGGAAGACACTCAAATAATAAACACAATACATACAGACAAGACATTAACACAGGACATTTCTCTTCACACCACCAAGGAGAACCTTTGCTAACCCTCCTCCGTCCCAAACCGCTATATCTATCCCCCGATACCGCGATACCGTCTGCACCACACATCCCCCCTCCCTTTCACGAGGGCCATGAACCCTCACATCTCAGTGCCCCGGCAACATGCCGGCCCAGCGAACTTTGGCAGCACGGTTTCCCGGCGGGAATCGACGATACGAATGCCTAGGTTTTTTCGGAGGTGAGAAAAGCCCTTCTGTTACTAGTAGTCGATTGCTTTTATCGTCTGTTCCAACCTTTGGCTTTTATGCAGTGGTTCTGTTCTGCTCCTCGGAGTAAAACAGAATTCTATGCTCGAAAGTAAAAGAAATATTCTGGCTCTTTTACAGGCGGATGGTGTATTCCGTTCGGGAATTATTTTGCTGATCTGACGGTGTGCATGTTATGTGAAATATCAAAACATACAGGCTGTTCAAGTTCCCGCAGATGGACTTTGAGATGGCGATTTGGGAAATGACGTCGCTACTTGTTGCGCCGAAGAAAGTGTTCAAGTCCATGTATTATCATGTTAGTGATATCACTTTTTATATAGATGTACTTCATTTAATTTTCCGAAACCGAATCAACAAAATTCTCTTAAAGCTTACAAAAGGCTAACATCCTGCAGAAACGTAACTACAACCTCCTCACCCCAAACCGAATGCGAATCGCATTAACTTCCCCCCCCACGTCCAACCCAAAGCTAACAACCCCCTCAAAAACCCAATCCAGAAACAAAAAACACCTGGCACCGGCCTGACCCCTCTTTCACATACCTCCTCTCCTTCTTCCTCTTCCTCACCGCCCTCGCCTGGGGTTTAGCATACACACCCTCTTTCGGCGCCATAGCGCGTTTATCCCTCCTTTTCATATTCGGGCACTTCATCGGCTCGTCCCTCCTCGTCTCGACACTGGCATATTTTCTCGTTGGGAGGCTTTTCGGACCCGGTGGGCCTGCGGCGAAAATCGGCGAGTGGAGGGGTGGCTGCGGCGAAAATCGGCGAGTGGAGGGGTGGCAAGGCTATGCGCAGGGGCTGTTTGCGCAGCCTGGTGAGAAGGAGCAGGTTGAGTTTGGATATTGTTTTGATGTGTGTGATGAGTTTGGATATTGTTTTGATGTGTGTGATCAGTTTACCTTCTTCTTTCCTCCTCCCTTGCCCCCTTGGTGCCCCAAGTTCCCGTCGTGAGTGTGGTGGAATTGGAAACAGAGAGCCTAACTAATTGCAAATAAATAATAAGGTCTCGAACCGTGCCTTCTTCCCACTATACCTACACCTATACGTCCTTCAATTCCTCCTCCTCCCAATCCTCATACGACATTCATCATCCACCACCGAATCACCGCCCAGCACCCTCGCCACATTCCTCGGGAATACCCTATACCTCTCCGCGCTGACATATTACACCTATATCACCTTCCTGGGATATAACGCCCTTCCATTTCTCTACCATACGGAACTCCTACTCATCCCTATTCTTATCCTCACCGTATTGTGGCTGGTCAGCTTGATCGTGGGCTGGGGAGTAGTGGGCCAGGGGCTGGCCGTCGAGGGGCTGTTTTGGGGGGTATGATGTAAGGATATTTTTTGTTTTTGGGAAAATTGGGCTGAATTGGTGGGGTTGTGTGTTTGAGGGGGAGATAGTCAGGAAGGGAGAGATGATATCAAATGGAAAGCTCCTGGGTGGGAACGATGAACGAGGTTGGTGGTATGGGGGAGCGAGCAGGTGGTTTTGCACGCATCAGATATCAATAACCGTCTTCCTAGAGGGGAATTTGAGTCGCATGTATATTTCCGGCTTATTCTATGGGATTTACTTGGTACCTTAAGTACTTACTTTTCTCTTAGGGTTAGCACAGGTTTCTTGGTTATCTTTATGTTACATTTTCTGGAGTTTATTCTGGGGAGCATCTAGCTAGCTTCGATATCGTTCTAGTAAATTACATGAAGTAAATACATCTACTTGTCTAATTCTAATGAAATAAGAAGGGTTGTGAAGAGAAGAGTACGGGAGAATCTGGAGTTTGTTTAGAAAGGGGTTGTTTCGAATAGCCCATATCATATTTGCATGTTTCATTTTCTATGTATTTCACCTGAACTCGTTAGAGAGGTTTATTTGCTTTGTGAGAGTCTTGCTTCCTGGGCATTTCTGTTTAGGTATACGAGAATTATCAGGCTAGGCAGTAAGCACGTACTCATGAAATTTGGATTGGTTCAGTAGGCATCTGCCCAACTCCTCGAATGCCATATTAGGAATCGGGGGCATGCAGTACTCCAACCGGGCAGAAATGAAAATAGTGAAAATATGAGAGGGAGAACACAGTGTGTGTGTGTGTGTTTTTATTTAACGCCCGGTTAGTCCACGTGCCTTAAGGGCACGTGATCTAGTAGAGTCCGCGTCGAACTATAGGGCGGGTAGAGCTACGCCCGTAGGCGACTACCTATCTAGTAGCTATCTTACAAATGAGGCAAAAATGGGTTGCGTATTGCTGCACCGGCAGAGCCCATGGGTCGGTTGCCATAGAGCAGAGGTTTTGAGAGGTTTTAGGTTTGTGGGAGGGAGGTAGGGGAGGCGGATAGGAAGGAAGGCAAGGAAGGAAAGAAAGGAGAGGAAAGAGAGGAAGGAGGAGGAGGTGGTGAGGAAGACGGGGGCAAGACAGAGGAGAGAATGGTCTGTGGGATCTGATCTGGAGGTGCGCGACGGCGCATTGGACAGATATTCTGATAGAAGGCTGTTTCTCTTAGCCAGTTATTGAATTCTAGGGCCCCACGCGAGGTTGTCAGTGTCTCGCGGAGATTGTAGATAGGCCGGCGCCACTTTGCTGCTTTTCTTGCAAGAGTGCAATAGTAGAAATGTTCTGGAGTTTTGCTATGTCTGCACTGGCAGTAGCACTCTGCATCTTCATGCTTAAGATGGCTGTGGTAGGCTGCAAAGTCTCCATGACCTGATCAGGCAGCATAGAGCTTTCCTAATGTGAAGCGTGAAAGTTTTACCTCTGTTGAGGCTCTCTTTAGTGAGATCTCCAGCTCCATATAGTGTTTGGGCCGATTTTTGGCCCAGTAGTTCTCAAAGGCCCATGTGGTTTGTTCCATAGTGTGTCGCTTTATATAAGCTAGAGTGCCTATGCTGTCAGGTTGAGGTACCATGCTTGCACTTGCTGCCTGCGCTGCGGCTGCTTTGGCTTCAAGATCTGCCTTTTCATTACCAGCCACGCCTGCGTGGCCTGGGACTCATCTAATGACCACCCTGCTCTGGGTGGCCAATGGGAGCCTATCCCTGCTCTGCCAGGCCTTTATGGCTTTCAGAAACTGCGCGAAGACCTGCTGGCTAGAGGTGTTTGGCACAGATCCAAGGGCTCGTGCTACCTCCAAATTGTCTAGGCAAATGTAGACATTGCTGGCAAACTTCGCCTGAGGCAAGGTGATGGCTTCCTTTAGGCCCTGCAGGGCTGCCATTGCCTCTGCGTCAAAGACCTCTGCTTTATCCATTGGCAGGTTTCCTGTGGAGATTAGACGGTGTTTGCTACCCCAGCATATAGCCCATCCTGCACCAGTCGCACGCTGAGGGTGCTCTATCTGTGAACCATCAGTAAAGACCACCAGATCCAGGGGATTGCGTTGTTGTAGCCAGCTCTTAAAGTCTTGTGCTGCCTGTTCCTTTGTGCGGCCTGCCTCATACCCAATCTGCAGATCTTCTTTCCTGGGAAATCTCATCCAAGAGGGCGTGAGTAGAGGGTCATATGCTTCTATCCCACCAGCATGACTGGACGCTCTAGACAGACGTGTGGTATAGGGTTTGGTGGTAGCTACTTTATTAGAGCATCTCACTAGCGGGTGTCTCTTGTCAAGCTTTTTGATTCTTACTGCAAATACAGCACGCTGGTTGTCTAGTGTCTCTTTCATTGGCATGATTTCTAGCTCACGGTGTAGAGCTGAAATGGGTGTGGTCTTGTAGACTGGCAGTGCCCCTCGCAAAGCATCTCTAAGGGCTAGATCTAGCTTTCTGACTAGGCAATCCATTCGATTGGAGATTTCCTTTCCCTTCTCCATTTGTGTGGCTCCAGGCCACCAGGCCTCTGCTCCATAGCAGAGCACAGAGAGCACACAGGCCTGAATGAATTGTCTAAGCAGTTGTACTGGGGCGCCTCTTGCTGTGTTGCTTAGTGCTCGTATGCCATTAGACACCTGTCGTGCCTTAGCCGCCATGGTCTCCATGTGTTTCTTGAAGCTCAGTTTTCTATCTAGCCAGATTCCTAGATATCTTATGGAGCTTTTCACTGCCTTTGCTGTAATAGAGTGAGTGCCAGATGTTGTTTCAAGGTCAATTGAGGGGTTTGAAAGGGTTCTGCGCCGTGTGAAGTGTGCTATCTCAGTTTTGGCAAAATCAAATGTCAGCCCTTCTTTGCTGGCCCAATCATTTAGCAACTTGAAATCCTCCTGGAGAGTAACAACATTCCCTTCAAGAGTGGTTCCAGCACTAAGCAGTCCTAGATCATCTGCGTAGCCTAAGCATGCACATCTTCTTTGTATAGTTCCTAGAAAGAACAGAGGCTGAATAAACAGCATGAATAGAATAGGTGAGACTGGCGAGCCTTGTGGAAGCCCTGCTGGGATATCAAAGAGCTCTCCCAGGAGTCCATCCAATCTGATCCTGCCTGTGCATCCTGTCATGAAGCTTTCCACCCATCTAATTAAATTTGGTGGCCAGCCTTGTTCTTGCAATCTCCGCAGCATCCTTCCTCTGAGTACAGCATCAAAAGCACCCTTGATGTCCAGAGTAAGAAGAGAGACTACTTTTCCATGGGCCCAGGCTTCCTCTATATCATGAACCATCGCTGCCACTAGGTCTGAGGCAGCCCGCCCAGGGAGGGCTCCAAAATGCTGGGGGTGGACAATCTTCTCTTGTATAGCTGTCCAGGCCAGCCTACGGGCTACCAGGCGTTCCAGTCCCTTCCCCAACGTTGAGAGAAGGGCTATAAGCCTGTAGGATCGCGGGAGTGTTGGATCTCTGTTGACCTTAGGCAGCACAACCAGTGTGGCATCTCAAAAGGAGGTTGGGTGCCAGCCAACCCTAAGGCAGGCTCTGAACAGCCTTTCCACTGATACCTTAATATGTGGCCATGCCTTTTGTAGCACCTCTGTTGGCACTCCATCAGTTCCTGGAGTGGTATTACCCGTGTTCAGCAGAGAACTTTGTATCTCATGTGCTGAGGCAACAGGAAAAGGTAATTTGACAGATGGTGGGTTGGACCAGCTAATTGGGATATCCTCTCTGCTTGCAGCCTTCTGTAAGAGCACCCGTTGCAGAAGGTCTCTTTTCTCTCTAGGGGTTGTTCACGTTCGCCCAGTCTCTTCATCTACAAGAGGGGGGGAATGAAAGGAGCCAGTTGAATGGGCCCATTTGATCATCTTAAAGATATCTTTCCCCACTGAGGCCTCTGCTATCTTGCCTCGCCAGTATTCTCTCTTGGCTTTCCTGGTGGTCCTGGCTACGTTGCTTTTTGCTTCTCATAAAAAACTAGAGCCTAGGTGCTGTGCACAATGTAGTGTTGTCACTGCTTTCTGGCAGTCCTCATTCCACCATGGCTGACCTGTGCCTTGCCCGGTGCTCTTCTTGGTGGAACTTTCCAGGGAAGCTATTAGTGCATCTGTGATACCTTTAGCCAGGGCATCCAGCTGATCTGTATTGGGGTACTCTGGGAAATCACATAGTTTGTCTAGTTTTGGCTTATAGGCCTCCAGCGTCTGGTTAAAGACCTTCTCATTCATGGTGTCAAGACGGAAAAAATGGGTTGGTCTGTCAGGCCTTGCGCCCTGTGGAAGGCTGATTTTGGTGAGAAGAGTCTGGTGGTCAGAGGAAGTGTAAAGGGATCTGTCCACCTGTGTGTCCACTCCTTTGATAACTAATTCCGGGGTGGCCCAGGCCAGGTCTATCATGTTATGCCCACGTGTGGGAGTGTCTGGGTCCATGGTGAGAGTAAAGTTGAAATTCATGGTCCATTGCAGGAATGGTTCCGCCCACATGCTTGGAGGCACTCCTGGTTGCCACACGGGGTGCTTGATATTGAGGTCGCCAGCAAGGAGCAACAGGAGTGCTGGGACAGACCAGGAGAGAAGACAGCCCACACCTTGTCCAGGATCCTCTGCGCCTGGGGGTGCATTGTATATGTTGACTGTCTGAAGCTGTAGACCCCAGGCCTGTATGTGCAGCATGTGGATGTCCTGGTTTTCTGCCCAGGGGCCTGGGACTGCATGAGCATGGATTTGTGGGTGTTTACACACATAGGTGAGGACCCGTGGCTTCCTGTCCCACTTTTCAATTGGGGCAAAGCAGTTGAATGCTGGATGCTTTTTGGAGATGCGTTGGCTTAAGTTCCTGTGAATCCAGGGTTCCTGTATGAGAAGGATGTCAGTCTTTCTTTCAAATGCTAGATTGAGGGCCATCTCATGTGCTGGGCCCCCTTTTCCTACATTGACTTGCATAATCTGCAGGAATTGCGGAGATCTAGAGTTCTTCTTCATTGAGTAGCTGAAAGGAGGGTGTTGTTGCGTGAGATGACGTGTTGGGTGTTG